TAACAACTGAAATTCAGGTTAAAGGTAAATGTTGTGTGTTACACAGATAGTGGTGGGAGCTGTTGTCTGTGAACATTTCAGACACATGCCAGTGTTAGGAGGATGTGGTCGGTGTGGTATTAGGGGAAGACACACAGCTCTGAGGTGACATCCTGCTGCTCTTGAAGTGGCAGTTCTGGTAGACCAATACAGCAGTGATGTCTGTCAGAAAAGTTGCATCTCCTGACAGAACAAGAAAGAGTTTTGTAATGCTGTTGATCAGATTTAAAAAAAAAAAAAAAAAAAAAAAAAAAAAAACACCAGCATTTTTTCTATAGATCATACATTGTTCTATTAGGTTTTGATGATGATTGCTTTGTAATACAGCAGAAGGAAGGAAAACAAGGCTGAGTAATTGGGTAAAGAATGAGTTATGAGAGCATATTTTTCTTATGGTAACAATAATTCAGTTCAAACAAAAGATAGATCAAGGAGGTAAAGAGGCCTCAGGATCACTGAAAATAGAATTTTCTGAAGATCTTGCAGAATTTGTGGCTTTGCAAAAGTACATCATTTAGAAAGAAAAAGGAAAAAGCCTAAAGCAGACAAACTTCTAAACCAGCTTGCTAAAAGTTTGTTTTGTGTAAAAGCAGAGAGTGAAGTGGTGTAACATCCTTTCTCTCTGATATCTTTTGACATGATCGCAAACAAAGAAGACAAACACATAGCAAGAATCAAGTACTGTGGTTTTTAGCCTGACTCTTACCAGAATTCCCCATCTTGTGGCTCCTCACATTCTTTTTTTGACGTGAGAGACTGTTTATTGCAGAGCGGTTCTCCAGGGCGGTTTCGCACCCAGAGCTGACTGTTGTGCTTGGTTGCCTATCTGAGGTAGTGGATAAGATTAAAAAAAACCCTACAGAAAGCTTAGGAGAGAACAATGACCTGGGTCAGCTTGCACTGAAACATGGGGGCCTTCTGCAGCATCTGCACCATTTGGTTCTGTTCTTTTAGAATAAGGGCTTTGAGTGTGTCTTAGGAAAGGCTTTTAAAGTAGGGCTTTTAAATAGTGCAGACAAGCTGTCTAGGCTGGGAAAGATAGAAGGAAGGGAAATGAAAGTATGGTGAATCCTTGCTATTCTGAATGGACAAGGATGATTGTGCTTTTGTAGTGCTATATATACTTGCCAAGGCAATCTGATCAGTGTTTGTCTTGAACCAACTAATCAATGTGGTGTTGAGTTCAGTGCTATTTATCAGGAGAGCTGGAACAAGAAACTAATCCAGTAAATTTCATTTGTTCTCTGGAGTGGGCTTTGTTTTCATGCTAACTTCATGTAGCAAACGTTGACAGTACATATTGTTTTCCTCATTAATAAAACTTGGAACCTGTGATGTTCCTTGCAGCAGTCAAACCGTATCCAGCACAGCTGAGCATGCATCTTTCTTTGACACATCCAAAGGTCAGAGCATGCCCTGATCCAACTTGCTCCTTGTGGGAACTGTAGCTAAACTCTCCTGTCTCCAAGGCCAGTGTGGAACAAGAGCTGGAGGTAGTTAGCTGTCTTCAACTCTGTTGTTTGGATGACAGATGTCTCTGTTTTCAGCTGGGACTAACAATTTTTAACAGAGCTGCAGCATGTCTCTCTGTTTTAGGAGATCTGGATAACTTATTACAGTGCTGTTGCTGTTTTTGCTTAACCTGGAGAGGGTGAAGCTGGTGGTTTTGGAGTAAGGCTGTCAGAGAGCTGTTCTTTCTGGGTACATCAAGGCTCAGCCAGCATTATTTAGTGTCAGTCTGCCTTTTGCTATTTCTTTGCATTGCTCTGAGAACTCTCCAGTCACTGGTGTAACACTGGGGAAGGCTGACCACCACACTTGCTCATGCAAAGTGCCTTCTTGGGCAGAAGCAGCATTTTGATTCAGTTACAACTGAAAGTCTGCAAAGGCTTTGTTTCACATTGGCTGGGTTGCTGAACATTCTGAACTCTTGAGTACAGCTGCTGCAAAGGGACAGTTAGTCTCCATGCCAGGATTTGAAGGAAACAAAATGATCCACATTCATTTCAAGTCCTTTAGTACTGCTCATATAGGAATTTCTAGTTTCAATATGATTTATTTTTTTACTCAAAGTGATGCAGTGAAGAATGTATGCATGCCTATCATCCTTTCTGCTCCCAGATCTCTGCACGTCCCTTAGGAATCCAATAGCTGTTGATGAAAGAAGAGGAAAAAGAACAATACTACTATTTTGGATAAACTGTCACAAAGAAAAATATTTTTGTTTCAACAATGTTGCACAATAAAATCACTGTTACAAGCCATTTTTCAGAAACAGATATTTATCACAAAACCCTTCTTAACTAAGATGAATTTGGGGCACTTTCTGATGTGCTTTTCTCCCATGGTGTAGAAAGAACTGTCAGCACAATCTGCTTGGCCTTGGCATAATGGTCTGATGCTGAGAATCCTGTCATTGTCCTGCCTCCCAGAAGGGAGACCTGAGAGGAAACCCCCATCTTCAAAAGAAACCTTCTCTGCAGTCAGGTCTCTGCACCAAATCAGAGGTCACCGGTCTGATTCGGAGTGTGTCATTGCCAGCTCCAGTTCCTGAATCTCTTCCCAAACTTGCATCTTCAGATTTCTAATTGGGTGCATTGCCATAGTTTTGTTTCAGGCTGAACCCTCTCCAGTTCTGTATATTTATGGCTGTCCTCAAAAAATTATAAAGACTGGGCAAATGCCCTCTCTAATCAGTGAGCCTGGACCTCTGGTCCCAAGTAGGAAGTCCAGCATTCAGCTTTCCTGGCTCCATTTTCAGTCATGTCATGGCTCTGTACTTATCATCTCTCTCCTAAATGGATCTCTGGAGACTTTGCAGGCTTGCTATTTTTTTTCTTCTTCCAGGGTGCTCTTTGAGGTGCTGAGAGCCAGCAGTCCTTTTGCAACAACTTTTCTTATTCAAGTGACTAACATTGCTCATGGGCCTGAAAGCATTGCTAGCTAAAAGCCAGTTGGGAATTTCTGCTGTAGGAAAGATGAGGTAATAGGAACATAATTTTGAGACAGATCACCTGTTAACGACAAATTTCGGGACCTTGTACTCTTGGGGCAGAAGTTGGAGTTGTATGTGTTGATCTACATCTGGTACATGTAATAATGTAGCCCATGTGGACTTGTAATAACCAAAGGAAGTGGGGTAGGAAATGAAGGAAACATGCTCTTGTTCTCTTTTCTGTATGTGGCCCATTTTTACTGAAGTCTGACAGCTTTGATAACCTCTAACCTTATATTGCAAGGGAAGATGGGAGGAGTGGGATGCCCCAAGTGTCTCCTGGTGTGACCTGTGCCAGGTGAGAAGCAGAAGCATGCATAGAGCTGGTGCCTGGATGAAGAAAAGGAGCAGGAACAAGGTTGCATTGACCCAGTCCTTTGTTTCATTGAGCCACATCTCTGGCTGGTTGCTTGCCTTTTCTCTCCCACACACAAGTTTCCCCTATCCCACCTTCCTTCAAAATTTTGTGCTCACTCCTTGTGTCCCTCTCAGTGTCCTTCTGTCCCCTCAGTGTTGGCCAGGGCCAGGAGGTGCTGCTGTACACCTTTTCCCATAGGGAAGGAGAAGAGGGACATGAAGTGTAGGCACATTTGCTGCTTTGGGAGACAGCAGCATGGTCTAACTCCTAGTTTTGGTTGCTGTGATGGTAAATGCAAGTGTGTGATAGGTGTTCACAGCCTTGTCTGGGAAAGGAGAGGAGGGCTTCATCTTGCAATTGCTGTGGTTCTTGTCTGGCTGCAAATGGTGCTGGTGACCCTGAGTAGCTTACATAACTGTGGGCAAACAGACCTCAGAGGTTTCCTCCCAAACAGTGTATGAGATGACCATAAAACAATTAAATAAGCAATTTGGAACCAAGAGTCAGGAATTCTCCTCACATGAAACAAGTGGATAACATGGACAGGGCTACTTCAGGGGCATGGCAGAACATAGCAGTAGATGGTGTAATCTACCAGTGTTCCTTCTGTCCTTGGGAGTTTGAATTTGTGTGGAAATACAGATCATCTCTGCCTAGTGCTCCTTACAGTACCTGTGCAAAATTGGAGTATCCTGCTTTTTAGAGGTAAAACAGACTAAAGTCTGTTAGATGCAGGCTGAATCTCAGATAAAGATTTTGGATTTGTCCGAGTTTGGAGGAATGCAGAGGAATCCCTGCATGAGTCAGGTTTTTAGCCCAGTATTCCATTAAGAAAGCCTAGGGGCTGTCTTTTGAAGCTGTACTTTATGGGTACACTGCTGCCTGAGCATCACTTCCCATTAGCCATGTAATAAGATTTTCTGTCCCTCTTGCCTGTTAATTATTTACCTTTGAGAGTACATTTATAAAGCAACATGACTTATTTAGGGGAAAAATGAAAAGCTCTTGCAAAGCATGGATGCCTTTTTCTCTCTCTCTCTCTTTTTTTTTTTTTTTTTTTTTTGTTTCGCTGGGAGTTCGGTACTTATAAGGCTCAGGATGAAGAACAGATTGCTATGAATGGTAGATTTTGCAAATGAGCATGTTCAGCTCACAAAAGGTGAGGTAGGAAAGGGGATGTAGCAGTTACAGAATGATCTTGTAACTGTCTGTACAAGGGTTTCTGCACAGGAGGGGCTGAGAGAAAGGAGGTTTGGTACAGAAAAGCTTATTCATGAAGCCACCAGTGGAAACAGGACATGAGTTTGAAATGCAGTGTTAACTTTTATAGAAGCAGACTGTGTGTGGTATCAGCGGGTTCCCACATGGTCCAGACTGATTGCAGTTCCTATGGTAAGGGTGTGGTTTTTATCATGGTAGGTAGTAAACAGCTGCACAAAATTTAGTCGTGCTTGCAAAGTCAAGTGCAGGCTGCTATCTCTGACTTGTCTGGTTGCTGAGCCAGGATGGAATATCTAAAAGCATCTGAATCATTTAGAAGCACAGCTCTTAATGGGTCTTGGGTGAATACTTGCTCCTTCACTTGGGCAGTTGTTGCTCCTCTGCTCCTCTCTGGTTGTCTCTACAGTGCTGTAGTTATGCTGAGTCATTTGGGGAGCAGTGCCAAGTGTTCCTTACTGTCCAGGACAGTGAATAATACAAAAACAATACAAAAGGAGGGCATTTGATAGACACTGCTCTTCTTGTGGGTGTTTGTAGTAAAAGGACAAGAACCTTTCCACATGGGTGAAGGCTGGCAAAGCCATACAACCATCAGGAGGGATATGTGGAAAGGTAGTTGATGCCAGATTTGATTTTGCTGCTTATTTGTGTACGGGAAGATCTCCCTGTAAGCATCCCAGGAAAGAAAAGGAACAGAACAGGAAGGTTCAGAGGTGAGATCAGCCCTGAGGAGCCCACTGTTACTGTCACTAGCCTCGAAGAAGAGCCTGGTCAGCCAAGAGTGTTCCAGGACCCAACAACAGGAAGGCACCAGCATTTCCGTGTGCTACTGCAGTGTATGTAATCTCCTCTTTCTCTCAGAGTTGGGTAATGCAGGAGGGATTGTTTTGGCTCTCCCAGCAAGTTCTGGGCAATGTGTCCAACACATTTTCCTCTCAGGAGAGGCTTTACAGTACTGCTTAAAGACACAACTTGCTGCAGAGTTGGGTAATTAATTCTAATTCCACATGGTCAAAGCCCACCCCTTAGATGGGAATTGTTCTGCTCCTTCTAGAAACTCAGTGAAATCGTTCAAATGAGTCATTTGAAAAGGAGGAGCAGTGCAGCAGGTTTGTTGTAGAAATCAGAGGCCAAAACAGAGGTTGCTTTGTATCTCCCATGTCTTTTATTTCCACCTATTTGGCCTTGTTCCCTGGGGTGGGTTGAGTTGTGGGTTGCCCAGTCAGCTTTGCCCAGCTGTGTGGGAATCTTCCATACAGATGGAAAACGCCATTCATTCTCTACACCCCGGTAATGCCAGGAGCCCGAGCGGGGGGCGAGTGCGCGCCCTTGTCCAGATGCACGGGTACGTGCAAGCACTCACAAAGAGCTTGCAGTTAAAAGCTACGTGCCCTTCTCTTTTTAACAGGGGAAGACAGCCCCAGCTGTTTATACAGCTTGGTGTTTCCCTTTGATCTGTGTTTGTTTCCAGTGTTTCTCGTAGAGTGGATCCTGGCGCTCCTCAGAGCTCTCTGCCCTTTTCCAAGTTTGCAGCTGTGTAACTGAAGCTTGCTGGGGTGCAGCCGGTTTTAGCACTTTGGGTGGGGGGGGTTCCTCTTCCCTGCAATCCCTCCCGTTGTTTGCTTTGCTCCTGGTCTTTCCTTGCCAAGGTGCTCTGCAGGGAGCTGTCTCATTCTGCTAATGGAAACAGTGCCTTGCAGATGCCTCAAGATCCTCCCTTTTACTTTGCCTGCTTGCTCCTACACACATGGCGTTAATACCCTTTGCCAGCTGCAACTGCCACTCTGGAGCAGATCTTCTACTCTGTCAACCAGGTCAAACCTCAGAGAGGTTTCCAGAGACTCAGCACGCTGCTCCTGCAGCTGACTCAGGCCCTGTATCTAAAGGAGAGCAAGAAACTGTGTTCTTCAGATTTCTGTGGTTTCTGAAGTTTTCTGAAGCTGTCAGAAAACAGGGATGGGGCTGAGAGGGGCCTTGCAGCACTCATTTGCTGCCCTCATCCCAAGGCAGGATAAGCTCCAGCTAAAGCTTTTCTGGCAGGTGCCAATCTAGCATGGCCATATAAGCATTTGACAGCAGGATTGCGTAGGGAAAGAGTACAGCCTATTGCCCTGATTAACTGTGGTTACTGCTAGAAAGTTTTGTCTTATGTCTGACTTAAGAAGAAAATTATTTCAGCATTGTTCAAGGGAAGAAAAAAAGCTGTGCAAAATGGACTGCCTCTGTGAGTGTGAAGAGTCCCAAATGCTGAATATGGCAGTCAACTTTCCTAGCAAGAATCACTCTGTTAGGCCCTCAAAGTACGCTGAGGAGTTGTGGCTGAGATAGGCAGATGTAGGGAACAAAAAGCATGGATCTTTTTCTGATGCATGCATTTCCCACTACACCTAACCCAAAGAGCAATGCTGATGCCAAAAAAAGTGGGAAACTGGATGGGAACATTTCATCTCCCATGGATGTTCTACGTAATATGACCCTCTTAGGAAATGTGCAGAGCCTGTTCTCCATGGTGTGACCTCTTTTAAACTTTTCTTGGCTTGGAAAAGCAGCTTGGTATTCACTGGAAAAAGCACATATGGGGATACACTTCAGTGAAGGGATTGCAAAAGGAGAGGAGAAGCAAAATCTTACATCTAGTGTCATATGCTTCAGGAAGACATGTGGAGGCTCTTCAGAGTCATGAGTGTCTCTTGGAGTTTCTTTGAGTTGTGTGTTGTGGTGATCTTTGCAATGAGTACACGTGGTGGGGAAAGAGCAGAATGGGAAGGGGTTTGTGCTGTGTGTTGGGCACACTGGAAGTGTTCAGCAGCTGTCAGAGAGGAAAGCTGTGGTACACAAGCAGGGGACTCCCATAAGCCCTCCAGGCTGGCTCCCAGGTCTGTGCAGACAGCACTGGCTTGTGCTTTCCCTCAGTCATCCAGGGAAAGTAAATTGCATGAGGTTCTTAAAGGATTTTTTTATTTTTTTCATTTCAAAGGAGCTTTTTCTTTTTTAAATTGTTCTGTTACTTAAAGTGAAAATATGATTAATCTTGCCAACGTTTGTAATCTTCCCTGCGATTCTGGTGATACTCAGGGCAATGCAGCACCCAGAGTTAAGTGTTTCCTATCCCCCATGAAAAACCAATAAGCCAATGTAACCTTTGTATTTAAAAAATAGAAAGAAGAGGAAGCATCCTATGTAGGTGTTTATTTTTTAGAATGGTGTGATGTCTGAGCTACTGTGCTGTATATTTTTTATGGGGCCTAAACCATAATGGGTTTAACAGTAGGACATCAGAAACTAAAGTTTTTTAAGAGGCAGAAAGTTTTATGACTGTGTGATTGCAGTGTCAACAATACAGCCTTCATCTTGTCTTCCTGATTTTGACTAAACTCCTTTGAAATTCCATCTTGAGAATTTCTGACAGAGATAACAGAAGACCTCAGATAGATTTTGTTGCATATATGGAGTAGAGAGGAATTACTGGTCCATTTTGGGCAATGTGGCCATGTTGTACTCTGAGCCTTATTAACTACCAGGGGAAGATGGATGAATTGGCTTCCCAGAGAATCCTGGTCTCTTGGCTCTTCCCGCACCTTTGTCATTGCTGAGCTACATGAGCACCTGAAAACCAGGAGTAGCTATAGCTGGGCAGTACTGTATGAAGGAATTAGGATTAGCTCCATTTTGTGGATGAGTGGTGTGTACTTCAGTTCCTGAAGGATTTGCCTGGGGTCATGCAAGCTGTCTGTGGACAGGTCTGATTCTCACTTCAAGGTCCTGCCTGCTGCATAACCCTTTCCTGCTTGTGGAAATGTCATCTCCAGTTTGCTACTTTGCCTTTCCTGAAAGTGCCTGCAAGCTCTGCCAGCTCCTGGCTAGCACAGCACTAGGAAAGTCAAAACGTGTGTCCTTCTGGTTTGTAGTTTGGCTCTCATGCTGAGGAAACCCAGCACAGGCTCTCTCTAGGTGAATTGTATTTGGATAAAATTACCTTTTATTGTTTTTTTTTAGCTATGATTTTTAACAGCAGTGTTTTTTGAAACCAACAAGGAATCATTCCAGGATGGGATGCAACATAGAAAATAAAATATCTGATTGGTGAAGCAGTAGTGAATCTTGCCTAAATTCATAAGACCCCGAGAGTGACATAAGCACTCCAAAAGAGCAAGGAAGGAGGGTGGGACTGTGATTATAAAGTGGTGCTGCTGCAGGTATTTCTGTAAGGTCATTATTTTCTTAATACTGCTCTGATAGCAGAGCAAATGGAAACCAGTTTCCACCAAACCAGAGGAGTAGGTGTTCCAGCTCCTCTCTCTTTCTCTTTGTCTTTTTAAATAATTTTTCTTTCCAAAACAAGCCATGAACCTTTCAGTGTCTGGTTTGTTCCAAGTGGGGTCCTAACCCTTTTCCTGCTGGGAAAATACAGGGTCAGCAAGCATAAGGCAGCTAATCCTCCTACAAATGTTAGTTTACTCAGCTACAGCTGTTCTTGGTTTGGAGAATCAAATTTGTATCCATTTGTGGCATTGAAGACCCAGACAGGGGTCATAATGGTCTTCTCCAGCTGATCAAAAGTTCACTAGGTAGAGCATCCTGGGCTTAATATAATGATTTTTGAGCCTTGTTGAAAGCAGTGGAAGTTTTTTTGTTGAGCTGAGGCAAATGGAGCAATTTGCATGTCTTAGAGATATATTTTTTTTCTTGCTTCCAGCCCAGGGAAGTTGTTTCCAAGCAGCCAGCTCCATGCTTTTTCCTTGTTTGAGGTTTGAGCCATCTTGCATCTCTTGGCCTTCCCACACTCCTAAAGGAGAGAAAGAAAATATAAGGAAGGTGTTCAGTTAAAGGGAAAGGGCAAGGCAGGGGGTTTGTGTTGTTCTTTCTTTATATTGTTTTAATTTTCTAGGCAATAAACTTGGCTCCTCTTTGGAAGACCTGTATTGAGAAAGAGTTTGTATTAGCACATCACACCAGCTAAGCAGAGGCAAGGTGTGTTTTCACACTCTCTGGTGCCTCCTTTCAAAAACTTTTTTTTTTTTCCTGGTACCTCTCTATGTGGGTTTAGGGCATGGCTCACCTGCTGTCAGTGTGCTGGGAGCTATGTTCTGCTCCCCTCCTGAGTAACAAGTAAAGGAAACTTAAGTTAAAACCATTTGTTACTTAATGTTAGCCAACTCCTAGCCTCTTGAAATACAGGATTGCTGGGTTTTGAATATATATTTCCTTACATCCAGTAGGAAAAGTACTGCTAGAATGTCTTAAGTTCTCCTTCCTATGCTTTTCTTCCAAACATACATCAAAGAATGACCTTGGCTGGTAATTAATTTTCCTTGGGAAGTTTGAGGTTAAATTTAAAATAATTTTACAAGGTGAAATTACATGCACTGCTTCCCTTGTTCCAGATGTATGCCCTCTATACCTGAAAGGTACAGTAGATATTTGATGACTCCTTAAATATTTCTGACAGTGTGAAGAGATATTAGATGAAGAGCACATGCTTTCCTTCTGGCATAAAAGATTTTGTGTAAACAAGTATGTCAAATGGTCACATTCTTAGAATATACTTTCATTAGGAATTTTCTTCCATGAGGTAAGCTTCAGAAAATAGATGCATGTGATGGAAAAATTCTTAGTGCCTATAACTTACCTGTGTAATTTTTAAAATTATGTTAATGACAAAAAGAACTTCTGGTACCAGATAAGAATTTATTTTTGATATTGAAAAATTTCCAACTCATTATTTTAAAAAAAGGAAATATGTTTTCCCCAATAACAAGTTAATAGCATCCTTTACTCTTCCAGTGATGTACAAATGTCTGTCTTATGAAGGAAATGCTTGCTTTGTTCAGCTGGTTAATGAAAGTACAAGTTTGAAGCCTGACTGTATTTGGAAGGCATCAAAGTCCAAGGTCTCTTTCAGTAGCATTGCAAAGAAAAAGGGGCTTTGGGGAACTGTGTGTGCTTCTACTGCTGTGACACCCTGTGGCCCAGGGGGAGCTTTTCTGCTGTAGGCAGCAGACCAGTCCCTGGCTGCTCTCCAGCTGCCTGCTGGGTTAAGCTGTCTGCTGCCTCGGGTTCTGCCAGGCTCAAGTGCAGGGTCTCCAAGGGTCCCTGCAGATCCTTGCTAATTCATCTGTTTTCTGGTGGACACTACCTTTGCTTTCTTCTGGAGAGGCTGGAAGGACCTGGTGGCAGTAGATCTGAGCTGGAGAACTTTCCCATTGCCTGGCAGTTTTAGGGGTCATTAAGGATTATGGAGTGAGAGCATCTCTGCCTCTCAGTGTTTGACTGCAGAAGCCTTGCAGGAGTCCAAAATACCTCTTCATTTCAAAGGCATTGTGCTTAGCCAGGAAACCTCTGAACAGAATAATCAAGAGTAGCTGGAGAGTTTGGAAAATCTTGGCAATCTTTGCCAGTGACCTAATTCTAGCAGTAAAGCTGAAAATCCGTAGATTGCAGCAAAGCAGGTTAGTGCCTCCTCTGCAAGGAGGCAGGTTTCTGATGAATGGCACAGCTGCTTTGCAGGCATGTTGGCAGCATGCAGGAGGACTCTGCACTGACTTGGCTTTGAGCACACTGTGTATCCCTAGAAGGATAATTACAATGGTATTAGTGAGAACCAGGGCACAGGACACCGCTGGCTATTTAAAGAGCAGGTCTATTTTTAACCACCTTTTAACAAAGATGGAGTTTTTATTAGACTGGGCTTTATAATTAACCAGCCTGGGTTGTATGTTGATGTTTACAGCTTTCTTTGCATGTTCCCTGATAGTCAAATGCAGGACTGTAGCCATGTCTTATGGCCAGGGTAGGAAATTGCAATATCTGCATGCTTGGTAGCACATTGAAAAGTTGGTGGCAAATGATCTTTACCTACATGTGGCCATGCCAGTGGCACCTGGGCTGTGTTTTCAAGTCAGAAGGAGAACATGATGTAGAGCATTTGTGGCCTGTGGTGGCTGTTTGGTTTAGCACAGCTCAGCCTAAAAGGGGTTTAGCTGGTAACATTGTCCTCCGTGCTACACTAAAATACAATTAATTATATTCACCAGGCATTAAAATACTTTCTGACTAATGTCCAAGATCGATAATAGGAGATCCTCAATTATAAATTCAGGGGAAAATCTGCTCCAGAGCATCTGTTGCTATTTGACATCTCTTAATAACTGTCCAGATTTCTTGCAAGGAATGACAAAGAGGAGCTGGAAGCTGGGAAGAGAAAGTGGCGGACGAGCACTGAGGTCAGTGTTAGAGCTGTATGAAAATGAAGGGGTGAGTTAAAATGCCAGGCATTGATTGATTCCATTCCTCTGCTGGGCAGATGGCCACCTATGCTGCTCTCATCACCTTCTCATTGTGAAGCCCAGGTTATTGCATTTGATCTTTTTCTACTGAGTTGAAGCAGCCCTGTCTCATCGGTGCCTCTGAAGATCAAAGGGGTTTTGAAAGGATAAGCAGTTATGTTACCGAGCAACTGTGAGTTCATTCTGGAGGAGGAACCTTCCAAAATGGCATAATTTTTATTACTGTGAGCATCAGTATTCAAAACTTTTTCACATTTCCTTTTCTAGTTTTGAAATTTGTGAGATTACAGGTAGTCTCTCTTTTTTAGAAATTGTTTTATTCATTTAAATGAACTTCTGTCTTCTAGCCCTATAGTTCAAAGCAGGAAACCTCAATATGTGCAGCAAATAGGACCCAAAGGCCCAGAGGTTATGCTGTGAATAAAATTAGTCCCAGATATTTCACTTCAGCTTCAGAATCATAAGTGTTGCTTTAGTATAATTATTTGGGATCTGCTTGATTTAGGAATTTTGAGTGCAGACACAGGAACCTGTTTCAATGTCTGTGCATTTGACAACTGTATACTTGTTTCAAAGAGTTTCCAATCCAGAAGACAGTGAGAGAAAAGGACAGAAAAAAGGCCTGGACAGGCTGAAGGATGGCAGCTAGTGGTAGCACAGCAGAGCAAATAGTGCTCTCAGAGAAGAGAGTGAAAAGGAGGTAACAGCAACTCATGTGAGATGAGAGCAGTTCTACTCCCTGAAGTGCTCTCTGAGATGAGGGTGGGACTCCTAAGTTTACAGAAGTTCAGTCCTGTTCACAGCTGTGTCTGCAATGCTGTGACTTTGAATCCTGAAAGTCCACATAACTCCAAGTGTATGAAGGCCACCCCCTGCACTCACTGAACAGTGTGATTTGCACTCAACATCTGCACAGTGTGAGCAGACTCATCAGCCACGGGGAGATACAGCCAGGGCTGTCAGTTACCACTCCATGCTGCAGCCCAGGAGACACCTGTTCTGCAGGAAGTCCAAATCTTTCAGCCAGATCCCCCATATTTCACCAAGGGATTGGAAGCTGCCTGATTTCCCCTCCCTCCATCCCTTTTTGAAAACCATGAAGTAATTAATTTGCCTTCAAAATCATAGCATAATTAGCAGAGCTCTCTCAACAATATTCAGTTTTATACCTAGAAGGATCCCAGGAAATGCAGAGATTTTGACAGCTGTGTGATGCAGAGGGAGGTGGAGGAGCTTGTCTTTCTCCAGACTGCAGTAGGAGGCTAGAAAGATCCATGTTGGACTGGACCAGTGGTGGCAAGACATCACTTGGCACAAGGTTTGTTGGTCTTGCAGCTTCTGTTTGCCAAGAACCTGAAACTCTTCCAAAGTTGATATCAGTAATGAGTGTTCCCATCTAGAAGAGTTGAGGGTAGAAGTAATTTCTGTGTAAGGTGTGCTTGGCCATACACTCACACTGCAGTGCAAGGCCACACAGGGCTCAGGGGCAGTCAGTGTTTGTAGCATGGACACTTTCAAAGTGTACAGTGGCGGGTGTGGGCAGTACATGTTCAGGTAAAACCCTTGCTTTGTGCTTACCTTAAGGCTTGCAGCTCCTGTTGCAGATGGGGAGAAGGATTTGTGTGCCCTAAAGTCGACCATTTTTTCCTGAGTATTTCAGTTTCTTGGCAAGATGCTCCCTTTCCCAGGGTACCCGGTTTTGGTTTTGTCTCTGAGGTGGCCTTTGGACAAAATGCTGCAGTTGTGGAGTACGTCAGTACGTTGCTGTTTGTATTTTGCTTCCACTTATGGCCTTGAATCACAACTCTGCTTTCTTATGCCCTGTGCCACCCCTTATCTGCCTGGTGCATGGCTTGTGACCAGGCAGAGGTACATTGATTTGTGTGACTTTGAAAAACCTGCATTGCCTTGGGGTTGTGGTTTTTTTATTATTTCTATTATTGTTTTACCATCGTTAGGTCATAGATCTCATAATTTGCAGTTAGTTTTTCCTTTGCCCTTGATTTGAGAATACAGTTGGGTGCATGTTCATCTCTAACTTTTGTAGACAGACCTGACATGGTTAAGATAAGTTGAAAATGTTGCTTGTTGGACTTTTTTGTTCCTTTAAATTCCTATTTATAGTTTGTTGTCAAGTGTTTTTATTGTTTGTCTTAAATTTTCATTTCTTTGTTTATTTTAAATGATAGATCTTTCATCTAAAAATTTTAAAATATGATGGATTTTTTTCAATTCATTTTCATGGCAGATTTTATTATAATTTGGAATACAAAAAATTTGGAATACTTGTACGTGCCAGGGAGCCATCGGTGGAAATTGACTGGAAACAGGGTCAGATGTGCAAGTATCCCCTTCCAACTGGGAGCAAACAAAGGTATCGCGAGGAGAGACCTGATTTAAAATCCAAAAGCAAGGCTTGTTGGGGGCGACTTCGCAGCTCAGGTGGAGAATATGAACTTTTAGCTGTGCATTTGTGTGTCAGATTTCCTTCTGAGCCGTGTGTCCGCGGTGCCCTGTGGAGTCGGGCGAGGAGGAGGGCTTGCAGCATTGCAGGACGCGCTGCAGCCCCAGCCAGGCAGCGGGGCCCAGCCTGCTCCTGCCTCCTCCAGCCCGCTGCCAGGTGCTTGGAAAAACCCCTGGGCTGGCTGGAGACAAGTGCTGGGTAAAGCAGGGAGCGGATACCTCACTGAGAGGGCTGGGCTGGAGGTCAGGGACGAGAGTAAGGAAAAAACATCAAGTTGTGCGATGCCTGTTGGAGATAAGCAGCCTCTGACCTGTGAATTGCTTTTAGAAGGAAAGCGTGTTTTCCCTGCCCTGTGGTTTTTGCATGTGTTTCTCATTACTTTTATCTGAAAATCATTCCCGTACATTGAATTATTGATGTGGGGTCACATGTGTTTCTCCAGGAATTGCTTTCTTTAACCAGTTATCCCTCCTGAATTTTTTAGACAATCTGTTAGGCTCTGAAATCCAAACAAAGTTGGTGGTTTCTAATTTCAGGGTTAAATTAGATTCGACTTTGAAAAGGCTTTGAGGGAAGAGGCAACATATGATAATGTCCTTCTCCATGTTAGGATCCTCCTTCTTCTGGTTCTTTTGGTGCTTCTTTTGGTTTGGCTCTATTTTTTTAACATCGCACAAAGATCAAGTGTCTGATTTAGCCTCAGTGGAACTTGAGCATATTCCTAATGTTGAGCACATGCTTAAATCCTCTGTTGAATTCAAGCCCTATAGACCTGGAGGCATAAGTACAAAAATATCTGGGAAATGCTTTTCTTTTCCCTCAGATGCTCCCCTCTTTCAACATACAAAATTAAGAATTCAGCATTTTGAACTGCTGCTGGAGGCGAGTTGGTCATTTCCTGCTGGGAGGGAGGCTTGATCTTTTAAAGATGGGAAGAGTTTGTGTGTGTGTCTCTGTGTGTTTGTGTGTGTTTTGCAGATGTTCAGGCCTTGATTCAGCAAAGTCTCTCAGCAGTGTCTGACGGGGGGATAGTGCTGAGTCTGGTAAACCTGCTGCTCCAGAGCTGAGTGTGTGCACGTTTGCCTGACTCCTCAGCAGAGAAAGTTTCTTTTCTCAGTTTCCATCGCTTCTGCTCATAGTGGAAGTTGGCAAGGACCCTGCACAAATCCCAAACCACTGCTGGCAAAGCAGCTGCCGTCTCTCTGGCAGTGTTAACATTCAGGGATGGCTCGTGTCTGCAGCGTTTCTGCAGCATTGACCAGAGGAGGATGGTGGGGGCCCCCCTTGTCAGGGACTGCACAGGGGCTTGGCTGAGCCCACCAGGGCCCAGGAAGGGAAACTGCCAGTGGCCTTACAGCCCTGGGCTGGCCCCTGCAGGGACCCCGCTGGGCATTGTCAGGAGGTTAGGTTTCCAGCCCCTGTGTAGCCACTTTGTCACCAGCAGACACAGGGCTTGGAGCTGCCAGCACAGGTCCCTCAGCTCTCTGGGGACTTCCCAGCAGGGAGGAAGCTGGTGGCTTTGTGCCCAGCTTGCTGTGGTGCAGAGTGTTGTGCTAGGTTGATTCCTACCCAAACTCCTCAAAAATGTATTCAGAGGTGTGGGGGAAGGAAACAGAGACTTTTTTTTTTTGCACCCACACCATTTTCTGCAGTGCAGTTTTGATTCAGGCAAAAGAGAGCCCAGTTCCTGCAGTGGGATTTGCATGTGTGTTGTACACTGAGACAGCTGAAGCTGTGAGCAAAAAGCACGCATAAATAAAGGCTTCCTCCCTGTGCTTTATATAATCAGAGTGGGTGATGTCATTGGAAGCTGGAGAGGAGAGCAGGCTGTGAAATTACAGCCCTCTGCAGCCAGACAGAGCCAAGTGCAAGGGGGGGCTGCACAGAGCAAGAGCCAGGCTCCCCTGATACATGCTCAGGACAGAGGACCTTGGAGGGGAGCTGGGGGTAGAAGTAGATAATCCTGATACAGTCAGATAATCCAGATACAGTCAGAAGCTCTTGCACAGGCACAAAGGGAAAGCAGGGAGAACAGCAGGTGCCTAGTGAGCAGCACTGGGGCTGCCATTTCAAGGGCCAGCACTCCCTTCCTCCTCGTGCAGCCATCTACAGCTTATGGATCTGCTGGGAGAGCTGTGGGGCTGCTGGGCTTTGTCATCCTTCTTCTGCTTCAGTCTCCTGGCCCATTGCAGCTCCTGGCAGAGAAGAGAGGGCATCCTTGCCCTGCTTGCACTCCACATCCTGGAGGAACTTGCTTCCAGTCCCTTCCTGGCCGCACACAGGGGAGGAAGCACAACAACAGAGGGGCTCCGTCCTACCCAGAGTGGCCAGGTGAAACAAGATAAAGGGTGATCCTCAGCTCTTTGGGACAGGGCTTATTTGGCTCTGGCTTTCTGAAACCTCTCAGGTGTTTTACTCAGTTTTTGGCCATCCTACTGCCCCCCAACATGGGAATCTCAAACAGGAGTTTTCCCTCTCATCAAGCTGAGCAGGAAGAGAGGACCAGGCTCATCTCTTGGTAAAGTGGAGAGCCCCTTTCTTTCAAATCTTTCACAGATTTCTCTTTCAACACATCAAGCATCTACAATGTGCTCAGTATGCTGCTGCAAGAGCCTGATTTTTTCCCACTTTGGCAGGGGGAAGGGCTGCAGCTTTTCCCATCTCCCCTGCAGCTAGCATGCAAAAGCTTCAGCCTCTGCTGAAACTGGAATTCTCCTTCTGTCATCCTCTGTCTTCCTCAGGATCAAGAGAGCGAGAGGCAGCAGCCCTTTGCACCAAGCCTGCCTTGTTTCTCTGTTATATAACAATATGGGCTTTTAGACTTGTTTTTCTAGATATTGGCAGATGCGTCAAATATTGGCATAATCCAGTGGTTTACATGGAAAGCCGTCTGGCTCTGTCTGGAGGCTGCACAATGCTGGTATTTTCATTGAAAACAAGAGCCTGCAGCATTGTCAAAGCCATGTTGCAACAGAATCCAGGTAAACAAGGGGAAAAGACACTCACATCATGGCCTGACCTGGGGAATTACAGCTGCCCAGGGGCAGCTCCAGGACTTGATAAGAAAGATTAATGGCTTTGCAATTGCTTTCTCTCTGAAATGGTCTTTTAGCTAAGTCTTCTGTGATGGTTTTCAAAGAATCACAAAGTCATTTCAGTTGGAAAAGACTTTCAAGACCATCGAGTTCAACCTTTGACCGCTCACCATTTTGTCAGCTAGACCATAGCCCTCTGTGCAACATCTAGTTCGGTGAGCAGTGACTCCATCTGCTCTCAGGGCTCTGGAGTTTTATTTCTGATGCACCCACCAGTCTGTCAGACCTGCAGTGTGTGCTCTGTGGTTTAAGAACCCATCATAGTCCACTGGGGCTGTTGGAAATTAAGAGAGATCAGGGACTATGATTGGGTTAGATTTTAAAAATGAAAAAGTAAGGAAAGTATTGAATGCTGCAGAGGGGTAACAGCTGGGGAAGTTGTTCAGTTTGATCTCTCTGAAGGAAGGCAACGTGCTCACATACCAGGACAGTTTGCAGGCTTGGCTGCTCCTTCCCATCCCAGTGTGTGGCTCAGCCTGGAGTGCGAAATAGTGAAATTTATAGGGGGAAAATCCAGTGGCAGCACAGAAGTAACGCCTTTGGTCAGACCTCTTTGAGACCTGTCTTAGCTCAGCCAGCACCACCTGCCCCTGCAGTGTGCTTCCAGCCCGAGCCGTGCTCTGTGCTCTTGTGAGCTTATCAGCTCATACCACACTCGTGTCCCAGGCAGGTGGCCCCTCCTGATGCCTGGTGTGCTGGCAAGGGCCATCACCCCTGCTGCAAGCCACAGCCTTTGGCCAGCAGCCAGCAGAGCCAGGTGCAGCAGTGGCTTCTCTGAAAATGGTCTGCAGGAGCCTGGGACAAGCAGTAACCTTCTTCACTCCACCTTGGTCCTGGGGCACAATGGAAAGGTTTTCAAGGTTTTATTACGTGGCTGGACCATTGCCTGTAGCTTTCAGGTGCTTAACAGGGTTGATCTTGTTCAGTCTGCACATAACCCAGCTTTTGACGTGGCAGATCAGTGCCACCCTTTTGATTGCTGTCTCAGCAATCCAGCCAGTGCTTGCTCCTATCTGAAGCTGATCGCTGGTTCCAGGAATTGCAGTTCCTGGTGCACCCCCTTCCCAGTTCCTGGTAAAACACAGTGCTGAGAATTAGCCCAAAGCTCAGGCTGTACATGTGTTGTCCATTTCTCTCTGCATTAAAGAGTAGACTGTGATGTCTTTGTCGCTGGTTGGATGTTGATTCCCCAAACTTTTTTTCCTGTTACACAAATAATTTGATTTTCACCATGGGCTGGGAGCTGCCTCCAGGTCTGTGGTACCTGCCTGTAGCAGATGCTGTGTAACAGTCTGCTGTTAGGTGGAGCCCTCAGATCTGAGTTCTGCTCAATCTGTGTTTTTAACTTGGGCTGATCTGTAGGTGAAGTGTGTGGCTGGAGCTCCTACTTGTGCTGTGAGGAGACACAGAGGAGACACATGCTGCTCTGACAGCTATGACTCAGTGACTTGCCTGTGTGGCCATTCAGGAAGTCTGTGCCATATCCAAAAATTGGTTTCAAACCCCAGAATGTCTTTGACCACAAGATCCTGCTCCTCTTCATTTCTGTGCAAGAAGTCAGCATCCAGTCTCCCAAGGCATGACACGAGCTGTAGTGCCAGTGTGAACCAGCAATATTTTTTCATTGCTTACCCTTTTGGTCATCATGAGACACAGGGCAAACACCTGTAGTGGGTGCACACTTCTGACCAAGCTCTGTGTTGAAAACTGGCTTCCAGGTAGAAAAAATCTCCCCATGTCAACCATATGGGTTTAATGACAGTGGGGTTTGCCCTAGAGCAACTTGAGAAGTAAGAGATTAGATTGATGTGATTACTGTTCTTTCAGTTTGATTTTTGGATTATGATTTCCCTTTCCCCACCCCTGTATTTGTTAATGTTTAATGGAAAACATGCTTTCTTCAAGGCTCTTGCTGGTAATATGCAGCCCTGTGACTGTTATTGAAACAGAATGATGAACCCTTCGTAAAGAGATTTATGGTAGAAACTGTGAGGAGCTCACATCTACAGCACGGCCAGTGAACAGTCCCCTGTGCTGACAGTTCATCAGCAAAACCCCTGACCCTTCCACCCTTAATCATCCTTGCTTGTCACTGACATAATTGCCTGATTACAGACTCCTCTCCCCCACCCCTTTCAAACTGGGTGCAATAGTGCATTTGAAAAACAAATGGAAATGAACTGTCCATGCTCTTTTTTTCTTTCTTTTTTTTTCCTTCCCCTGCATTGAGATGGATCAGGCTAAGATTCGGTTTCTTTGTGCATGAGCAGGGGCTGGGATAGGCTTTCAAGAGTCTTTTGCACTGGTGTTTCTTGCATGTGAATGGTAAAGCTGATGTCATTGTGTTATTGATTGGGATGACAACTTTGGACATAAATCATTAATGTCTGGGAAAGAGAGAGGGAGGGGAAAAAGGCAACCCACACTCGATAGTTTTCCATAAATCTGGCGTTCATCCCTGCATATGTGAACTAGAGGAGGAGACAGTGGGAACAGTTTTCCTCTGCAGCCCGAGGACGATGTGTGTTGTCACTACTGCCTGAGCCATTTACCGCAGAATATGTTGCCATATTCTGCAGAAAATGGATCATATCACCAGCAGTGCTGTTGTGCTGGAGCCTGTCTTTGTAGATGTGAGCCAAGGTCAGAAGTCTGCCCGGGGGAAGGTCTTGGGTTCTCTCATTCCCACAGACCTTGTACCCCTAGCAGCATTTCAGACCTGGGCCCAGGAAGGAGTAAGAGTGCAGTTCTTGGGAACTACTATGCCTTTCACTCCTTGAATTGCCACCAGGGATTGTTTCAGTGTTTGGAATTGACCATTTTTTCATTGATGACCTTAATTTCATGTAAAAAGAAGGTGTTTGGGTCAGTTTATAGCAAATGTCCATGAGCTGGCAATGAACAAAGCATGCAGGGGGTAGCAGTCATTCAAAACTGCTTTCACAAAAGTTCTCAGCAAAACAGACAGCAAATGGCTCAGAGAGAGTGGAAATCCGTAAGATACTTGTACCATTTTCCTATGTGCCTTTGCCCCTGCACAAAGTTCATCCAGATGGGTCAGATTATCGGTTCAGACAGCAAGAAAATAAACAGTGTCTGTCAGAGGTTAGCAATAATGAAAGTATTGGTGAGCAGCTGGTGTTTGAGGCGTAAATAGTTCAGCAGCAGTCTGTGCTGGTACCTGAGGGGAATCTTGTGATGCGTGGAAACGGGGAAGCCTGAAAACTGCCTCATAGCGGGGCAGAAGTGAAAGAAATGACATTCCCTTGCAGAAAGCATGGCTCTGATCCTCCTGTTCTCCCCTTGCAGCCGAGCCCACCTCCGCCTGTGTCTAGAACGCTTAAAAGTTCTGATACCGCTCGGACCAGACTGCACCCGGCACACCACGCTTGGGCTGCTCAACAAAGCCAAAGCACATATCAAGGTAAGAGCTGCCTTTCCCTGCTGCTTTCAGTGTGGGCTCTCTGCCTAGAGCTGACTCTGTTGAAGGAAACGTGACACTGTTAAAAAATAAATAAATAAAAAGAGCAAGCAAGCTTTGCCCCCTTGCTTAGCCATTTATCATTGCCACAGGCCACATTGTTGGAAGAGTCTAATGAACTCCTTAACTACAAAAATGATGGATTTGAAGAGCAAGGATCTTGTTCTGTATTGTGATCGTTTGTTGACAGCTGTATCTCTTTAAAGAAAAACATACCTAGTGCTGAGTGACTGCATTTTGATGGGAAATGCAGCTTTTTTTTCTGGTGTGCTACTGAGTTTCCACTGCCAAAGCATTAGCACAAACCACAAGAGTGTGAGACAGGTTTGGCTTGCTGGAGTTCCATGTGTGAACCTTCCAGCTAGCCTAGCTCTTCCAGCTCCACTTTTGGCAAAGTGAAAAGAAAATGCAGCATTGTCAGTATCTGGGAGAGGCTGAAATACTTTGTTGCAGGTCAGGATATAGAGAGGGAAGATGGGTGATGAGGGAGGAAAAGTGCTGCCAAAGGGACAGAGTTAGCCTGAAATGACTCCTCCTTATGCAATGTGCTTGTCGTAGGAAACAAAGAACAGTACCCTGGTAGATTTCCCAGCTGTGATCAAAGAAATCTGTAGTAGGTTATGTAAATCACTCACTGAATAGAAAACTGTTTCTGAGAAATCCTTCTAAACCAAGCAGTAAGGAACACAGAACTCCCGGGCCACGTTTTTACGTTGGAGCAGCTGGTAACAAACGCTGGAGTGGTTGGTCTGGGGGTGCGAGGCCCCGCCGTGGGCAGAGGCGGTAGTGCAGGTGTCCGATCCCGGCTGCAATGACCCACACTGCTGCAGTTCACAGCGTGCCCCCTGGAGAGGCTCAGTCCTCAGAGACTCTTTGTGCTAATGGGTATGATTTATCAGGACCTGAGAGCTGGAAAGATGTGGGGAGAAGGCATTGTGCTTGGAGACTGCGAGGCAGCTTGGTTCAGGGCACTTGTAGCTTGAATCCTTCTGGGACTGGGAAGGTCTAGCAAGGCAGGTGGCAGGGCAGTGGAGGTGGGAGGGAAGGAAAAAAGGACAAAAACAATTACTGAGTTATATTTGGTCATGTCAGAAACTTGAAGAGGCTGAAAGGAGAAGCCAACACCAGCTTGAGAACCTGGAACGAGAACAAAGATTCCTAAAGAGAAGACTGGAACAACTACAGGGTCCTCAGGAGATAGAGCGAATACGAATGGACAGCATTGGATCTACCATTTCCTCGGATCACTCGGACTCGGAGCGAGGTGGGTGTTGCTGAACCAGCAGAGAACTGCCAGGACTCTGAAGTGGAAGAATGAGATTCATCCATTTCTTATCTCTCAGCTTCCCCTTCTCATGGCCTTTCGTGTTTAGGTTGCTGATTCTGCTCACACACAGGCACATACACACACATACATATGGAGAGTTTAGTATTTTGCATGAGTTCTAAGTCTGGAAGAATTGTTCTTGCTGTCAACTTGATCTGATTTCCATGGCATTGAAAGATGGTAAAGTTGAGATGCTCATTGTGATTTTTGGTCTGCTGAATCTCTTGGCAGCACAAAGAGGAAAATGTAAGAAGATTAATAATGTTAATAAGACTGGAACCAATGTTTCACACACCTACCCCCCAACCCCCCTACCAAACTTCCCACTGAGTTCACCTTTTCAGTCAAAACTGGCTAGATACATCTGAATGGCTAACTGAATTAAGATAACTTCCTTTTTAAAAATATCCCTGCAGTGGACAGACCATTAGGCACAATAGATGGTTTGATATTTACAGAAGATGATAGATAGTTTGAGTGTGAGTCTGTAGTTTAAAACAAAATCCTTTAGAAAATTCCGGAACAATATGGGAACAAAGATACCTGGGTAATTAGATCTTTGCTTTTTAAGTATTTCTTAAAAACAAGATGTCTGTTCCAAAATCCACTGAGCATGTGTGAGAGTAACCCAGATCCCCATGATAATCCACGGTAATTGTGTGTGGTCCTGGCTTTGGCAATATAGTGTCAAGCAGCTAGCATGTTTAGGGTTAACTTCATGCTCCATTTTCTTTCTTGCACTCAATTTTATCTCTTTCTTCTTTTTTTCTAACACTGGGGTATTAGAGATCCAAAAAAAGAGGTAGTGGGACAAGCTCGGGGTGTGGAGTGGCTCAACCATGCTGACAGTGTGGTTGGCATGTGGAGGAGTGAAACCCCTTTGCTAAATCCCTACAAAAACTCCAAGCTGGTATTAGTCTTCTTATAAAACATGACTCTAGCCCATCCTATCCCAGGGGGAACCTGCCAGATGGCCGCTTCATTCCCTGTGTTAGGGGAGCCCCAGGAGCTCACTGGCACGAAGCGGGCAGTTGGGTGTGTAGTGCTAACCTGTGTGCATTTCTCTCATTTCCCTTTCCAGAAGAGATTGAAGTGGACGTTGAAAGCACAGAGTTCTCCCATGGAGAAGTGGACAATATCAGCACAACCAGCATCAGTGACATTGATGATCACAGCAGCTTGCAGAGTATTGGGAGTGATGAGGGTTACTCCAGCGCCAGTGTCAAGCTCTCGTTTGCTTCCTAGAAACAAGTGAGACAACAGTGCAGGGTGAATTATTTCACTGGGATGATCAAACTGGGTCCTAGATGCCAGTATCCTCTTTCAGAATTGACATATTGACAGCTAGGCCTGGAGAGACCTGTATATAAAGCTTTTTGGGTAAAGGATGCCTCCCCAGAAACCCATATTTGTTCATTTGGTCATGTTACCAATCCCAATTTCTGCTGGCAAAAAGTTAGGCCAAATACTAGTCCCTTTGCAGTCAATGAAATCCGTTTGTTTCTGTGGGACCTGGATCTAGACCTTAGTGATGAAACACTTTGTTTTGAATTTATTTGAAATTGTTTGAAAGAGGATACTAGAAACTCATCCCTCTCTTTCTGTCATGAGATCTGAAAAATGTCAAAATTTCTTACACTGCATTCAGATTGAACAACTTAATTTAGGCCCTTCTGAAGAGCTTTTGTGGTCCTGAAAGGACTGTATCCTACAGTTTACCACAATCTAATGCTGTCATAATGTACTAGGAAATCTAAGAAGGCTTATGTAGCCAGGAATAACAGTGCCGATAATGATGGAGGTCTCATTCTGTGCCCAGAGGGAGAGGGGCAGCAATGTTCAGGGGAGAACACCATTCAACTCAGCTTTCTGTTGGACATCATTTAAACAGTGAGTACCTCTGAAGCGTGGCTAAAGCAAGAGGTACCCACCTGTAATCTACCAGCACAGGGTGGGCTGTCAGGCCTGGGGCTGTGCCAGCGCCAGCAGGTCCCCGGTAGATGTGTGCCCCTCGCAGGCACACGGCCAGCTGAGGGCAGAACGAAACCAGCACTCGAGAGGTGACACACCAGACAGTCATGCCCAGATACTGAGCCACTATGACCTTTTTATTTGAAGTGATTTTTTGATAAACATTTGTAAATGTGTTGGGAGGGAAAACACCCCAAGTCTGATGCATCTTTTTAGAGCTTGTCCATATGAAACCTTAGATGTCTTTTATATGAATTTATGCCATGAAAAGATCTCTGTTTTGATGAAGCACTTGACCCAATGAAATGCAAAGATCCTTTTTTTGCCATGCACACAATGGATGAAGGCTGTGCTAAGCTGGAAGAGGCCAGGTTTGGTGGGGGTTTCTTCAGTTTTCTTTTTAGAATCATTCCCTTTGCTGACTTTTGAAGTTCCAGTCCAGTAGTTAACCTAGTTAAGCTCAGCACGTCTCTCATGTTAATGTAACGTTTTGACTGCACGTCCTGTTCCCAAGGGCCTTGCCATCTTATCTGTGCAGGTGCTGTTAAGAGCTGTTATAGCGAATGTTTTCTAATTTTCTCCAAGACAAGCATTCTAACCTGCACTTTGAGGGCTTTGCTTTTTTATTTTTGTCTTTTTAATGGCCAGGATTATTTTGTTTTCCAAGTTTTAAAAACCTTAATAGAGTCTTCACCTATGGCATTGTTTGAAACTTTGTATATCCTTAAGTAATTTAATTACCCTTCATTACTAAGAAAAAAAGAGGAAAAAATGCTTTATAAAATTCATAACTTATTGCTGATTTGAATGGGTTGTTAATTTCAGTCCTTTAGATTTTATTTTATTGTTTTAGATAGGGTTGGGTAAAAAGAGGTAAAATAAAGTAAAAAAATAAAGACAACCATATTTAGCAGTGCAGTGGAATTGTGTTTAAATGTTAGCATATGGTCCCCATTAAAGTAGCACTTTAACGCCATTAAACATTTCTGTATCTGAAATGAGTTGTGTTCTTCCATCTTGGTCATTCCTGTCACTTCAGCCAGCTGCTGTTCTTCCTGTGCCCTTCGGTCCTGCGGTCACATCCTGAGCGAGTCTCATGTAGACTTTTGCACTGTGATAAGTTGCCTGTGTTTAAATACTCTGATGTTTCCTCCACTCTCCAAAATGTGTCATTCCCTGTAAGAGGCACAACACACATGCTTGAGTAGAGAAATAATCTTTCCATGGCTGTAATGAACGATTTCTCTCCAGTCTGGGGGTTTTTTTTAATTAATTTGCTTACTAAGTTTGCATCTGGTTGCAGTTGTTAAACGTGTTTTCACTTGTGTGCATGTAATCCACTGTCTCAGTCCATGTGTTCTTTCTGGGAGGTTACCTGGCAGGAGCAGGAGTCTGCCACAGAGTGAATTAAGCTCTAGGTTACAAATGGAGCCAAGGGCTTTGATAGAAGAAATGCTGCTTGAACTTACATTGGGGTCTATATGATCTCTAGATGACACAAGGCTTGAAACAGTCTG